CACTGAGGATCAAGAAATGGCCGATGATGATTGGGTTCCGCCTCCTGGTGGTCTTTATAGTGACGACGACGATTAAGACGAGGATAAGGATATGGAGGAGCAATAGAGTGCCAGAGTGCCTTCCTATTTGTACGGAGTGGAGACCCGGGCTGATCTCTGGCAATTAGCATGGCGATGCGCACATTGTACAATACTTACTTGGCTCTTTATGCCAATGATATTATCAGGAAACTTAAGCAACTGCTCTCACTAGTTCTCCCTCGTTTGAAAGGACTCGGGGCAGTGACGAGCTAAAGGGCTGGGTATGGGGTATGGGGTATGGGGATAGAGATAAAGTAGGGGTACTGAATATAGCTGGTGCTATTTAGTATGATAATGTGGATGGGAAAGCTTTAGGCTGTGAGCAATACAATTGAATGATTTTCTTACTGATTGACTTGTTTTTGAACTCATTTTGAACCTTAGTTTGCTTGATTGTACGATTTCTGTGTATTTACCGTGTGTTATGCTATATACTACACGTTTGGCCTTTTTTCCCTTGTAAATCATGTCTATTCAACTCATTCTCCCGCTTTCTTGTCTTGAGTCCCAATTAGTCAGCACATCTACCCATACTCGTGATACCTCGTGAAAATCACGTGGGATAGTCACGCTCGCGCTTGCCACGTGATATTCACGTGAAATAATGACCCAAATATAAATTTTTGAGTCATTGTCCAGCGAGAGATTAGTCTATAAGTTTATCTCAATAGATAAAACTGAATAATAGTTATATTTAACTAGTTAAAAAGAAGTAATAGCGTCTATCTACTCTTAATTTTTTATACGATTAGCTCTTTTCTTTTCTAATCTACTTTTACTATATCGAAATTCTTATCTTAAGAAGACAAGAATAGTAAATTAATTAATTATAATACGATTTTAGTAGTTCTTTAATTCGTAGCTTATATGAAATTAACTCTTTCTCTTCTACTAATGTTCTATAATAGTAATTCTCTCTCGTTTTGATTATAGAGGAGAGGAGAGAAGAAGACTGAGAAGGTTCTTGATTAATATACTCTTCTTATTAGCGAATATTCGGGATAAGAGTCTTAAGAGATGATTTTTGTTTTTATTGATGTTAGATAGATAGCTGAGTTATAAGAGAGTTGAGTAGTTTTTCTTTTGATTTAGATTAGATTATTAGAGAGTTTTAGATCGAGTTTTTAGAATTTGATAAGGGGTTAATAGATAGAGAGGATTTAGAGTTTTGAGATATAATAAGCTGAGTCAAATTAGATTAGAGAGTTGAATTAGTGATTTATTATAGAGATTCTAGTTAAAATGTCAAGTTATACGTTTTTTTTATTGAGATTTTATTAAAAGGGAATTCAGATTAGATACTAAATAGAATAGTATTAGTAATCTATATATCGACAAGTTACTCTCATATCCCTCAAACATTATTTAATTACTCTGATATCCTAAAAATTATACTTGATTTACTCTTGTATTCTTTAGATTCTATAATAAGAAGAGAATAGATTCTAAAGTAGGAGGGTAGACTCTAGTCTTTTTAGATTAGATTCTATAATAAAGAGTAGATTTCATAATAAAGAGTAAATTCTATAGATATGTTACTTCTTTTCCTTTGAATTTATTTTGATAAAATAGATTCTATTATAAATATATAAAGAATCTATACTATAGGATCTAAGGGGCATGAGATCAAGTCACCTCTTAATTTTAGTATATAAGAGTAATTAAATTACTTTCAGAGGATATAAGAGTAATTTGTCGCATACATATATATATCTTATCTTCTTGGAAAGAATATACTACTAATAATTAGAATCTATATACTGAATAGATATTATTACAACATTATATTTCTATAGTCTCGACTACTTGTTCACAGAGGTTCAGATATCCAGAGAGACTTAGAAGATTGAATAGGCTCAAGCATTCAACCTAGCCTAAAGACGGATATGATTCCAAGTACTAATACTTCAGATCTATATGACAGTCGGGCGGTTGGAAAAAGAAGCTTCTCAAGGATATTATCAAGACTACCTCATTCAATAATACTAGTTTTATGTCACTTAAGGGAACATAGCCACAGATCACGTTATAGTTATCTTAGTTAAATCTAAGCTAAGCTGAGCTAAGCGAGGTCGAATAGGTTTTTACAAATGCTCATTCTTTTCGAATTTCTCAGTCTGATGTATTAACCGTGATTCGAGATTCTCTACTCACTCACGGTTAAGAAGCAGACTAGTTAAATATACGTGATACTGATTATAGATTAAATGGTTCTTGATTGGGTTTTAGCTACTATGACGAATATTGTTAGGGAGCGACCACCTGACAGGGTTTATATAGTAAATCCACTATTCCGAAAGTATTCAGAATACTCCACACTTTTGTAGATTAATAATAAAGTGGATCAACTCTAACATTATATTTCGAATACAAAAATACCTTATTCTAAATCTCTTATTCGGTGAATTTGAATAAGAATAATTATACTTTGAATTTAATTTTGGTGATTAGTTTAGCTGTAGTTATATATATTTCTAATATTCTATATTTATAGATCTATGTTTATAGGGAGCTAATTCCTTTTTGATTGGCGTATATTGGGTGGATTTGTACAAGATGAGGATGAGTATTAGAAAGCAATTATCTGATAGAGTTTATATAGTAGATCTATTATTCCGAAAGTATTCGGAATACTCTATGCTTTTGTGGGTTAATAATAAAATGGATTAACCCTAATAAATATCATATATCTATATAATTATTTACTATAAACCTTAATTCAAGATGAGCTGAAACAAGTGATGATTCACTTTATAAGCGATAAAGATATCTCTTAAGGATCTCTTTTCTCTTCTAGTTTATTTAATCTTTGTTGATACACTCTAACGTGTGATTGTAACAACTAAGAAATAGAATTGTGAAGAAGCGAAGCTGTCAAAGTTGTATATAGGAATCCTCCAGATTATCTCTTATTCCGCATAGAATTCTATCTCCCGTTACTTGAACTCTAATTTTCCGTTCATACTATGACAAGAATATAGCGCAAGTGTACGTAAGTCAATTTTCCAACACTATCGTTCAAACATATCACCCCTCTCATTTTTCTATCTACTCACTATACTTAAAACATTATACTAGTATAAAGCGTCATGAACAATAGCGGTAGGGTTTTAGAGTCTAATTCGCGAAGTCAATAATACAAGTAAATTCCGATACATAAAGTAACTCGAGCTTAAGTATACTAATTAAAAACGACCGGAGTAGTTTTGACTGATTAAGACTATATTCATATGATGAACAATTATATAATAAAACGAGCCTGTACAGATGTAAAAAGCTTATAGACATCTAGCGAGTTCACAGAGACGCTAGATCCCCAACTTTTAGGCATTATACACAAAACCCATATTTCACATTATAACTAAACCTTTTCTCGGTATGACATTAGTTCTAGACATGGAACCTGTAGATTCCCTCTTGACTTACGTATTTTCTTTAGCCGAGTTTTCGTCTCGCGTAAGTCTCGATATCTAACGAAGTACAATTGCAATGTGTTGACATCCAGCTGAGTATTTCGACACTTTCGACAATATCAAAACCACTCGAAACCCAATTTTGAAGGTCGAGGGTCTTTCTTGATTTTTTCAAACCCGCTTACATACCAGGTAAGGATTCTGGCACACATGATATGGATTCATGTACTCCGATCACTTCAAATTACTTATCAATTAGAAATGGCCGAGATTGAAATTGTAAGATCATCTGAAAATTAATAAACTCATCCCATTATTAGGTTCTCACTCAAATTTGTGTGCCAATATTTACATAATCGAAATGATAGTAAAGCAACAGAAACTCATTCGTTATATGACCATCTATTTTTGTGTCTCTTTCATCAACTGCCATATCATGTTTCTATTCCTACTAGCTGTCAATAGATGAGTCATTATCCTGCCCTCCCATCTTTGCGAAATATCCAATCGACTCAGCATCACTCGCGTGCGCACATCCTTGCCCCCCATCCCCTCTGAGATTTAATCCCCTCCCGGTGTATACTGAAGGATAGGTACGACTTGACTCAATATCGGGAATTCAATCGAAACTATTGTAACCCTTATACACGGTGCTTCTCGCTTAATTCTTTCTTAATAAGATTTATACAAACAGCGAAAAGTCATCAATCGTCACTCTGAGAATCACGTAGAGAGTATATAGATTTTCCACACACGAAGTTCAAGAATTTGAATTCCAAATTCAATAGAATCTCCACAGCCCAATGACCATCTATCGTTATCATCCCTCTCCTTCTTTGGAAAGACGATACATCGATATTCACTACAGCTTTCCAAAGCGTCGATAAATAATTTTTTATTCTCAAATCTATGTATCAACATATTAAATACTCAAAAATGTGAACTTAATACCTACTACATAGAGTTGACATTCAACTTCAACTCTCTATCTATCTACAACGGCGAATTGATCCTACTGGAGTAGGATCAATTCTGAGATATGCAACAGAAACTTACAAGTGGTTGGTCAGGTGACCTAAGTGATTCTATTGGTTGATGGGCTCATTATCTATTCACAATTATGGACTCTGAAAATCTAGGAGCCTTGAAGATAGTAAAGAGATTGTTTCAATGATTAGGAGCTAAATGACTGGTGTAATCACTTTACTCTATATTACTAATCCTGAACCGTCTGATTCGAGGTATTCGAAGGTTGTGTAATGCATTTGGAAAGTATAACGACTCGGTCTTCGGGACATTGCGGTTCTATGACTTGACAATTCCTACGCTTCCAAGGAGTATAAAGGCAAAATCGTAAGAGTGAATAAAGGTCAATATATAGCGAGTAAAATATTGTAGTTGAGACTTTCTCTTACACACAACCCACGTGTCAACGAGAACAATCGTCCCATGCGATGAAGATCCATGACATCTCTATAGTTCCCAGATCATCAGGAACTCCTCATCCTACACAATACGTATAAGTTCCATCGGTTTCCTATTCTCCACCTGCACCGACTCATCCATCTCAACCTCAGGAATGAGAGAAGGCCCAACAAACTTGTACTCGGAATTTCCACATGGATAAAGTACAAGAGGTTGCTTAACACCATGCATAATAACTATCTTATCATTCACTTGCACAGCAAGCGGCGACCCGGGGTCATTCTTCCCGTATGCGCCGATTCCAAAATACTCCTTTGAAGTTGCAAAGATGTTGCGTCCTTCGCCTGTAAGTTGATCATTGTGATCTCTTCGCAATGTATCATCCTGGACACGTCTACCAAGATGCGCAAAGCGCAAGGCAGCTCTTTCTCTCAACGTAGAAAGTAAGATCCCTCTCCAAGTGTCGGAGCTTTCATCCTTGCTAGTGCTTCTCTCCCATTCCCGTAGTAGAATGCGGCATATCCAACCCTCATATTGCTCCACAGGATCAAATGCACCTGTTAGCGTCTCGAAAATTAATCAAAAAGGTACCTTCTTGAGTCTGCCAAGTTTTAATTCAGCGTCGTTTGTTTCCGCCGCTTTTCTATGCGCCCGGACGGTGAAATGGATGTCGAGAAGAGTCTTTTCGAAATTCTCGGACGAGAAATTGGGGTATGCAATTGTGACAGTGTCAAAAACAAGACCCCAGGCTCATGACTGCCTTGTGGAGAGTGTTAAAGTCCTTGATTTCATTCAACTTATTTCCGTTGAGATGATCCTTATGGCGCTAAAAGCCAAGCATCCAAACCCAAGACGGTAGCATCAATTTGCTATCATCTCCACGCACGGCATAGTTGTAGGTAAGATACTCTAGGCCTTTGTCGCATGTATTCACAATAGCTTCTGTTGCTGCGCGGAAAGTTTCCTTTGGTTCATTCCGATATCCTAAGTTCGAAAATGGCGCGCGTGTATCCTCGCCAAACAAGCCAAGAACTCCAAACACACGATCTCTTTCATCTGAAGCATGGACAAACGTAGACGCCAAGAGCATGTCGAAAAAGTCTTCTTGTGACAGCGGTGCGTTTTCCTGTATTTGTCTCCTCATAATAATGTTGGTTAGAATTTCAATCCTTGGGAGTTTTTCCTCGTCTCTGAATTTCCAAAATCGGAAGCAACGGAACAGAATCGATGAAATACCAGAAAAGGTGTTCCATGGCATCTCTACCCGGCCATACAGAATCGTAACCTGAAAGCCGTGGGCGAGGCATGTCTCTTGGATTGTCCAAAGACGAATGAATAATGTTCGAGCGGAAAAGGTGTCCATGATGTCAACAAAAGCAGGGTGCTTGGAAAGGTCCTTGAGCATAAGTCCAGGGCAAACTATCGTAGATCCATATTCTTCTTTGTTTTTCTCAATCATATCGACTTTGAACTTATCAACCTGGTCGCCTAGTGGTGCCACGAGATCCCATACTTCCTGTGAACGAGCAACTTCTTCCCCAGCCAGACAACAACCCTAGATGCATTCTTGTAAATACTTCCCATGAGAGGTACTTGTTGAGATCGCTCATCCAAGTCATCTTGATTGATACAAATCGCATCAATCCAGCATAGAGTCCTTTCTGTGATTTTCAATCGATTTGAGTACGGATTGTGACCTGGAGCAAGTCCTTGAAATTTGCGAAGTCTTTTCAAACCTTTGATGAGATTCTTAGTCACCTTTAGTGTTGCATTGTCGCAAATGATCTCGGAATCTCCAGTTCGCGCTCCCCATTCATAGCTCAATGCAATACACTGAGGCATTTGCGATAAGCTTTTGTGAACGAGGCGGACTTGAATAGGCGTTGAGGCTGTACCAGGGATCAGCTCAAGCATTCTGATCTCGTGGGGAGGTTCGATGGCTTGATATTGGAATTTTTCCATTGTTATAAGTTGAATGAAAAGATGAATATTGAATTCAGCAGCATTTTTTCGGATTGTAGGATTAGTTCGTATATCAAGATGAATATTGTTTGGTGGTGGAGCTTCACCCGACCCCGAGGTTGTGTCATCAGCTAATAGATCTATCTAAAAGCTCTTAGAGATAAGAATTAATCTGATTCCCATAATCACTATGTGTCGTCTATTTAAACAATTCTTGTTAACCGCCCAAAGCTGATTGGTAGCATCCCGTAGCGACTGAGGATCCGATATAAGCCGACTGCGCTACTTTCTGACCCCCTTGTTTTCGACCATTCTTTGATATCAAAAACAGCTATTTCAGCCACCGAAACATAACATTATTATGTTATAAAATAATTGATAATAAATTGAGGATATATAAGATGAATTGATAAAGGTTACAGTACGTGCGCTTAGTAATAGTATATATATTACTTCTACTTCGTAGTTAGATTTATCTTAGTATAATTAAGCTATATAGTCAATATTATATATTCTACTAGCCTGCTTCTTTGTTATAAACATCGATGATAATTAATTGAGGATTTATAAGATGAATTATGATTAATTAAACATTTATAATATCCTACATATACTACATATAAACATCAAACTAAACCAAACCCCTCCCCTCCCATCTCAATCTTCCCCTAACAACCTCAATCTCCTTTCTAAAAAAACCCTCCTCTCATAATCATCTCATCATCTCATCATTCCATAATTCCATCATTTCATTCCAGTATAAGCCGTGTCCTCCCACTACCTTCCCCTCTCTCTAAAAGCAAAACCTATCAAGAAGGAACTACTATTATCTAGTTACCTAGCTAGGTACCTATCTGACTATACAATATACTCAATCCAAATACTCTCCTCTCAATCCCATTCCATTCCATCCTATTCAATCCTATTCCATTCTATTCCATCCCATCCCATTCAATCCCATTCCATTCCATTCAATCCCATTCAATCCCATTCCATTCAATCCAATTCCACCCCCCCAGTCCTAACTGAACATATTCTCAGAACCCAGAATCTATTTACCACCTAGCTTATAGAGTAATGAATGCTTGAAGATATACTTAAACATATACTTGAAGATATAAATAAAGATATAAATAAAGATGTAAATAAAGATATAAATAAAGATATACTTAAAAATATACTTGAAAATATACTTAAAAATCTACTTGAAAATCTACTTGAAAATATACTTAAAGATATACTTAAAAATATACTTAAAAATATACTTAAAAATATACTTGAAGATATACTTGAAGATACACTTGAAGATATACATAAAGAGAAGGAGAAGAAAGAGGAGAGTAGAAGTGAGCATGGAGAGGAAGACCGGGGAGAAAGAGGAGAAAGAAGTAGGTTTTTAGAATACCTATCACTTATCTGCTTACCTCTCTTTTCTCTTTTCCCTTCGCTCTCCACTATCAATTATCAACTAACAATTATCAAATATTTACTCTACACTTTTTTCTCAATTCACAAACCATCCACAAACCATTCACAAAACAACACACAAATCACACACAAAAAATACACTACCTTCGACTCACCCCATCAAACTAAACCACTCATCTCACTTCACCCACCACCAGCTCACCCACCACCACCTCACCCATCCAACCCTCAACAGACCGACCCCACACCCACCACCAAAATCTCACTCATGATTCAGAAACCGCATTTCAAAAGAAAATTCGGACCGAAAATATTATAGATTAATCTCTACAACTCTAGATTACCTCAGCTCTTCTACTGACACCACAATTAAGCCAGTAAAGAAACCAGGAATTCATCTTCGTGTCCCTTGACTCATCCACCGAGGTACTATCCCCCTTCAAACTATCATCTGCCATCTATCAAGCAAGTCAAATGCGAGCATGCTATCAGAAATTTTATACCCCTTTACGCCAAGAAGCTGAGGCAAAGTCAAATATAACATAAAATACTTAAATCATTAATCAAGAAACTTTACTTCCAGCTGAAACTCAGAGGAGTTAGTTTCCTCTCGCAATGAAAAAAATTAGAATAATTCCTTCGTTTCCCCCCCAATTCGTCCTGAACCACCCAACTCCACATAAACTCCTCTAATTTCCTCTGAACAAAAATTGCATATCCTCTGGCGTTAAATTCTCCATCGCACTTTCATCAGCATTAATCGTACTATGAATCATGTTTGCCTTCTTTTCTTGCAACAGAACCATTCTACTCTCCACACTATCTTCGATACACAATCTAGTGATTCTGCATGGTCTAGCTTGTCCAATTCGATGACATCTATCAGCACTTTGCCACTCTGCAGCTGGATTCCACCATGGATCGACAATGAAGACTTTGTTAGCTTCAGTAAGGTTTAGTGCGACACCACCGGCTTTGAGGGAAACGAGGAAACATTCAACATTGACGTCAGTCATGAAGTGATTGATGGAAGCTTGTCGTTGAGCGGGCGTCATAGAACCATCAAGCATGACAGTCGTGATACCTGCACGACGAAGACGCCATTCGACGAGTTGAAGCATGGTAGTGAACTGAGAAAAGATAATTGACTTGCTGGATGAGTTTTTAGATCGAAGTTGATAAAGATCATGAACCAAAGCTTCAATCTTTGAAGATGATGTCCAATTTTCCATCTTGATTCGATTGATGATAGACGATTTTTTGACTTGTACTTCATCTTGTTCAATTTCTGGTTGTTCAAGATCAATGGCCAACGGGATATGACATTGAGGACAATCAGGAGATTCTATCAAGTTAGTGATGAAAAATTGATAGGTTAAGAAATGACTTACCAGAAGATCTCAAGTAGTTCTTGGCACATTCTCGACAGAAATCGTGACGACAAGCAGATTTAATAGCTTCCTCTGCAGTCTCATCACAAATACAACAAACAAGAATATTTTGACCACCTTCACCATTCTTCTTCAAGATCAGATCAGGATGATCAGCAACTTGACGCATCTGCATGATAAGACCAAAAATGTTTGCATAGTTATTAAGCAAGACACCTTGAGCAACATATGTTTCGAACTTTCGAGCACCGTTATTCATGATACTGCCAGCGAAATCATTCTCTTCTTCACCGAAGAATTGTCTGTCAACATAGATTTCCTTTGCAGGAAGCTCCATTGCAGATGAGTGATCCCGCTTGACACGACGAAGCATAAATCTATCAGTCAAGATTCGAAGCTTTCGGAATGCTTCCTTTCCAGGGCCATTGTTACCGAACTTTTGAATAGGATTGAGTAGTTCTTGGTTGAAGACGGAGACATGTTGCATACCACTGTGGTTGCAACCAGTACAGCGATTTTCACTGTTCATATCCCATTCCAGAGTCGAACAAGGGCATTGTTTACAAAAATAACACGCGAAAGGTCGAATATCGAGGAATCGAACGAGTGAGAAGAATTCACCAATACGATTTTGCAGAGGTGTTCCAGACAAGCACCATTTGTGATTTGCCTTGAGAGCAAAGCATGCTTTAGCAGAACCAGAGGTACGTTGCTGAATATATTAGTATAAGGAAACTGGAAAGGAGTATTAGGTCTTACCTTAATACTGTGTGCTTCGTCAAGAATAACCCGATGAAACTTGATCTGATGGATTGGGCTCTTCTCTTTACAAATTCCATCCTTGCGCTTGAAGCCTTTCTCTTGTTTTCGATACATAGACTCCAGACTATTGTATGACATGAGAATTACATTATACTTTTGCAATTGCTGAACGGTGATACCCTTTGCTTTGGCATTGCTACCATGAAAGACAAAGGTTTTCAAAGTACCATCTGTATAATCGGCAATCTCTTGCTGCCATTGCATGAGCGCAACGGGTGGTATCAAAACAAGTGAAGGTTCCTTGGCAGGAAAATCAGACATAATCAAAGATACAGCTTGAATTGTCTTTCCCATGCCCATCTCATCTCCCAATAAACCTCCACCCCAAGCCGTCTTTTCCATTGCTCTCATCCATCCAACGCCTTGAAGTTGGAAAGGTTTAAGTTCACGATTAATGTTTGTTGGTTGTTCAATTTTGCAGTCTCCAATCTTTGGTAAATCCTCCAGTTCTTTCCACATGGTGTTTAACTCAGGATGTTGCTGCTCCAACCGCTGACGTTCCTTACGGCTACGTCTGGTACCTCTGTCTTCTAAGTTATTGATCATTTGACGAGCCTGACGGGCATTACGCACACGGGAAGCTGCAGGCTGAATACCAGTAGCAATCGGACCTTCATCATCAGAAGTATCACTTCCAATCATAGGATCATCGTCTGTGTCGAATGTGTCTGAATCTGACACAGGAGAAGGAAGATCGGTGAGAGTAGAACTAGCATTGGATTCCATAGTGTCCTCTGTCTTGAGTTTGGGCATTGGTGGTTGGGTTTCTTGTTTGATCGTGTTCTTACGTGTTGACGATGACTTGAGATTATTTTGGAAACTTTCAGAATGCTTGTGAATAGCCTTTGAAATTTTGCTTGACTCTTTCTTGATTGAACTCCGCGGAGCAGAAGATAAATTTATGGCCATATCCGAATCCGAATCGAGGACCATGAAATCGTCATCATCATTTGAGTCGTTATATCTCGTACTCTTTCCTCGGTTTGGGGTTCGAAAGCTGACAGCATTGGATTTGCTCGAGATTTCAACTTTGGGCTCAACTTTTGCCTTTTTAGACACACGTGAAACCTTACGATTAACAAATTCATAATCTTCATCGTCCTCACTAAAATCCGCATCAAATGTCAGCTTGACCGGTTGGACGTTGCGTGAAGTTCTTCGTAAGGAACATGAAGATTCGGCTACCACTGGTGCATTTGATTTCTTGTATTCTTGTTCTTGAAGATGGCGAGCAAGTTGAGCATCTGGTGTATTGTCATCGTCAACTTCGTCATCCTCAGAGTCGGCGTATCCTCTTTTCTTAGGATTGAGAGAGTACATGCTGTTTTGAAGTGCTCGAGCTCGATCAATGGCGTTCAA